CCTGACGGGAGAAGTGGAAATGGACAAGCAAGGGGTGACTACAAACCCACGCAGTCCCTTTAACCCCGAAAACTTTCTACGTCGATTCGGGACCCCCAGCCAATACACATTGGCTGAGCGGCGGCCCCAGGCCCGCCTCCTCTCTCTGCCGATTGGCTGCCGTACACATCCACCACAAGTCGAGGCTCTCTAATGGACCACAGCCTTGTCAATCAAGGGGGCGGTGACTAGGCGGGACCGGGTCCAAGAGGGACGCGCCAGCCGCCGCCGCCTCCTCCCAGCATCCCTCCAGTCAGTGCTCGGGGAACGGGCGGCGCCCCGGGGGGCCCGGGCTCAGGTGTGGAGCCTCGGGACCCGGCTCCGTGAGGCCCCGCGGACTCACCGATGCGCTGTCCCACCGGAGAGCTGAACGGGTTCCCCAGGAGAAAGTCCATCGCCGTGGCTGCGTCTGCCACCCAGCCAGGGAATCAGCTGACAGCAACCGCCAGCTCGTCCAAGCCGTCACGTGATGCGCCGGAAGCCCACGGGGAGGCGCCGCCGGTGGGCGGGGCGGAGGCAACCTGGAGCGAAAGCCATAGGCTCCGCCCCCGTTGCCCAGGGTCTGGTGTTCCCGGCCGGAGGGGGCCGGCCTCGCGCTAGCTGACTGCCTTCTGCAGGAAGTCACACGCGACGTCACGCACCGTGTGCGGCCGGGGCCACCCCAGTGGGGCCCCTTTTAAGCCAAGTGTTCAAAAACCTTTTAATGTTTTTTTTAAGGGTTTAGGGAAGTTGGACCCTAGGGTCCCATTTTTACTCGTTAGGAAAACGGTCCGAGACCTGGGAGATGCCTTGGGTTGGGTTTCCCAGTCTGGCTCTGCTCTCTCTGCTCCAAGACCCTTCCTGTGTGAGACCTTGGCTGCAGGCCACATTCGCTTACCTCCAACAGGTGGCAAGGCGCAGGGCGTTAATACCCAGGGAGATGGAGGGCCAACTCCGAGTTGCAGTGTGTTGTCATGGGGACTCGTCTGATTTACAGTGATCCCAAGCACACCCGAATATCGCTGCATAGGATGGCAGAGAGAGCCTGCTATAATCCAGAGCAGGGCCTGGGCCTCCAAAGAGTGCACGTACATCTATCCCCCTGATGTTGGAATTAGATAGAGAACTCGTTTTTATTTGGTCACAGGCGTCCCTGAGAACTTGAATCTATCACCAGTACGAGCCTTTCGGAGGAAAAGACACCATTAGAACATCATGGGAGCTCTGGAGTTCCTGAAGGACATAAGTGGACCCCTAGTTAAGACTCTCAAAAGGCCTCTTTCAGTTTCCTCTGTCATCTTGGTTGTATGCTTGGGTTCAGAGGTTACCTAGTAGATCCCTGGAATGTTGAGTTATGTATGGTTTGTAGTTGGCTTCTAATGACTGACACCCCAAAAGGTAACAATACCACTGCAGTGGTAGTTTGGGCCCTGCAAGGTGCCTTAGTCTGCGGGTCACCACATGAGATTTTAAAACATGAAAACCTAGTAAATCCGTTCTGCCCAGATGCTGGGGGTGTGGGTAGAAGATGTACTCGAGAACAGAATCTCGTCCCTGTATTGTTGGAGCAGCTGTAGGTGCTGGCATCGTTCCTGTGGTCAGGCACTCTTGTGCTTTGCAGTTTTAATAGGACTCAGGAGACTTGTTAAAAGTCCCTCCCCCACTAGTCTAGCAACTCCATGGGCACTGTTGTGTAGCACAATGACTTAAAAAAACCAAACCCACTGCAATTGAGTCAAATTTGATTCATAGCCACCCTGTAGACCAGAGTGGAGCTGCTCCCGTGGATTTCCAACACTGCAACTCTTGAAGGGACCCCATGGTTCGCAGTCCAAGCCATCATCACCCTGACCGACCGGGGCCCTCCCAGCGCAAGCAGCAGAGTCAGTCTCAACGCTGGCTACCCTGTAGGGCAGAGAATTGCTCCCTCAGGTTTCCAAAACCGTACAGGGGCATGCAGCCTCACCTTTCTCCCATGGAATGGTTGGTGGGTTTGAACCGCTGACATTGTGGTGGAGGGGTCTAATGTCAATCAGTGAGTGCCCTTTCAGGAAATGGTATTTGGATCCTATTTGGAGGGGTGCATTTAATATGGTTCTGGTGCATGGACTTCGTGTCTCTTTTTTCCATTTAAACAATCTCACCTTGTCATGTGGACACCCCCCACCCCACCCCATGCGGAGCGGTGCTCTGCTGGCAGCTCTTGCTTCATTCTGTTTCAGAGTGGTAACAGGCAGAATGAGCTTCACGGCCAAGGACGAGGAAGGCAACTGAATTAAGATGAAATGCCTTCCTGAAGTAGGTTACACATGTCCCTTGAGACTGCACTCTGCATACATTTAATCGGCAGAATGCTTTAAAACACTTTCAGATGAAAATATACTTCACTTCCCAAACTTGAAATCAGAAACAACCCATATGTCCTAAAGCAGGAAGTGGAATTGCACCAAATCCACAGGAATGGAATGCTACACAGCTATTAAAACAGAAATGGGTGAGGACCTAATGTCGGGGGTTTAAATGGAGAGAAAATGTTTTGAGAAATGATGTACAAATACGCTTTACACAATTGATGTGTGTATGGATTGGGATAACAGTTGTATGAGCCCCTAATAAAATGTTTAAAAATAAAAAATAAAAAAATAAAACAGAAATGGGAGTGTGTGGGTTTTGTCAATACAGCCAGGGGAACATGAGTGGCCAATATTATGTGTAGCACAACACTTAAATATGAGGTTTTCAAAGAGTGAGTTAACAAGGCACAAACTCATTGTAGTAGTTACATAATTTTATGTCAACTTGAAGATATTTAAGTGTGGGGTGGTATCCAAGCTGTTAGTTAGCCTGATGGTCTGATGGTGCCTTCTTGTGGGCCTGGAACATCCCCTCCCCCTCCACCCTCGCCTTCACCTTCCTGTTGGCTGCTCCGATGGCTGCCAGAGCCCTGTGATGTTTCCGGCTGGCTTGTGATCTTCCTGCATCCTTTATCATTCATGTGGCTGCATGAGTCTGAGGAGGGAATTATGGACTAGTACCACACTTACGGATTTGAGTTGGACTGGGATCCACCCCCCCACCCCCTGGGTAACAAGCTTTTTATTTATTCTTAAAAGATCATTCTATTGGGGGCTCTTCTAACAATCCATACATCAATTGTATCAAGCCTATTTGTATCTATGTTGCCATCATTATTTTCTAGACATTTAATTTCTATCGAGCCCTTGGTATCAGCCCCACCCCCAATCCTTTCTTGATATACCATACCTTTTGATATAAAGCTCTTTCTTATACATGAGTCCCAGGATTTGTTTCTCTCGTCAACCTGGGCTAACACTCATTCAGTAAAAAGTTTGTTTCCATTTGATTTTACTTTTTATGTGTTCCAGCAACCCAGAACACTCCACAGCCAGAGTCAGTCTCAACGCTGGCTACCCTATAGGGCAGAGAATTGCTCCCTCAGGTTTCCAAAACCGTACAGGGGCATGCAGCCTCACCTTTCTCCCATGGAATGGTTGGTGGGTTTAAACCGCTGACATTGTGGTGGAGGGGTCTAATCATTTTTATCCTCGGAAAGGTAGTTGATGTTACTGTTATCAGCAACGTCAATTCCAGATACTTTCTTGAGAGCAAAAATGGGAACAATGCGATCTGTTACCATCTTTAAGGAGCCCTGGTGGTGCTGTCTGGTAAGTGCTGAATTGCTTTAGCTAGAGATTGACAGTTCAAACCCGTCTGATGCTGCTCTGGAGAAAGTGGAGGCTGTCTGCTCTGTAAGGATTTATAGCCTTGGGAGCTGTGTTAGTCTGGGTACATGAGAGAAACAAATCCAGAGAAACTCATATGTATAAGAGAGAGTTTTATATAAAGGGCAAGTGCACATCAAGTAAACATCCCAACCCAGTGCTGCCCAAGCCCACAAGTCCAACATTAACCCATATGTCTGACACCAATCCACGAAGTCCTCCTCCATCTCACAAAAAACACATGCAATGATGCCGACTGCAGGAGGAAAGCCGAGTCGGTGAGCGTGTAAACATCTCAGTGCTGGCAGGGGTCTCCACACAGCTGCTCCAGCACCCAGGGCTGCATCGGGGTAGGTCCATGAAGCTTCTCCTCAGGGATGTCTTGCAGGAAGTGAGCCTTGCTATATGGTAGTCTCTTTCTTGCTGCCTCTCCTGAAGACAGCTTTGTATCCACTTAACAGCTAGTTATTTGCATGGAAATGTTTACCTTGAAAGCTCAAATTGCCATATACTTCATGCTTTGAGTGTCACTCCACATGCATGGCATGCTGACTGGCTGTGGGCTTAGAGGCAGGGAGGTGACATTAAACTCTTTCATGGATGGAGTTTGGAAGCTTCTAGAGATTAAGTGGCTTATTCAGCACCACTAAGTCAGGAAGGATGGTGCTGAAACAGCCTGACCCATCGGCAGTCAGTGCTCACACAAGAAGGGTGGTCTTTTCTGGAGTCAGGTCACCACAGTGACATTCCTCAACTTCCAGTTCCCAGTGGATCAAGCCAGTTCTCAGATAGAGCCAATGGATTTTCAATTTGCAAGAGAAAATAAAATGGTCCCTCACTCCAGACTCAATGGGGACCGAGCAAGGAGTGTACAAGGGATGTGGCACAGGTTAGAAATAAGCCCTCTACTTGGGGCCAATGGCTCCTGCCGCATCAGATCCCCACCCTGTCCCCCAAATGATGGTACGATGTAGCGTGGAAAATGGAAGCTTTATGAATTCATAGTGATTTTGGTTTGCAGCATGGAAAAGATAGCTGAGACTGGACTACAAATATTAAAAATGTGATTTTTTAATAATATAAGTACAAAATTTCATTTCTTTATACAACTGCAATGGGATTTGGATCAAACCACTAGTATTTAAAAAACAAAAATAAAACAACGATATAAAAATTGCAAGGTCTGAATCCAAAGTTTTTTGCTACTAGTACCCAAATACTACAAGGTACAGGTTATTATACAAATGTGTACAAATTTTAAATACAAATATAAGAGGGCTGGGGTGAAAAGAACACAAACAGAAAGCAAGTGCTCATTAGAATCGCATGGAAGTGGACAGATGCCGGCAGAAGGACTGGTTCTTTTTGTACTAATCCCAAGGCCCCCTCCTTGAGCACCCAGTGTCAAACTGAAAGCTTCCATGGGGCAGACTCAAGGTGTGGATGGAGGGTCTAATCCATAACTCCCCACACTAATTTGGCCTACTGCCTCCTTTTCAGAAAAAAAAAAAAAAAAATTACAGTGCCTCCTGGGCAGTGGAAGACGTCTGTCCGGTAGCCCCAAATCAAGGATAAAGTGTAAGCGTCTGCTTTTGCAGGTCCCTCGGATCATTGCAGGGCCTCCCAAGAGGCGGCCTCACCGGCGGTCTTTGGGAAGCACCTGTCTAACCCAAGAAATCAAGATTTCTGTTCCTCTTGATTTCAGTTCCCACACACTCCTGATGCTTTTGTCTCCCCAGTTAAATCTCAGAGCTGTCGAGCTGAGAAAGGCATTCAGCAGCCAGAAGACTGCTGAGAAATACAGGCCATGACAACCCTGATGGGGGAGGGGAAAGGAAGGAAACAGGACGCCCGCTGGCTGCACTGTCTGCACAGGGCTGGCTGTGCCGTCGGAGTACCAGGCCGAGGCCAGGGGAAGAGAGCACCGCTGCCTCCTTCGAGCTGGGCTCCTCAGAGCAGCAGGTAACCTCACACCGAATTTAGAACAATCTTGACGTGCTCAGCTGTCTTCTCGCCAACTGGGAAGCAAAAGTCTGGGTTTTGGAAATAAGAGGGGCTGAGAATGGCAACATTCCTTTTAATTTTACTTCCTTGACATTATTAAAGGACTTTATAAAAGTCTTCATAAAGATGCAGAAACCCAATATAATGATTCTTTTTGAGGCCAAATGCCTTAAAATGTAAATGATTGGAGTTTTAGAGCAGAGCAGTGGAAGGAAGGGAGGAAGAAAGAAATGGCAAGTCTGTATCTTCCACGTGCTCCTCTGTGGAGACTGTTATTAAATTATATGTACAGAAATTTACAGGATAAATTAAAGTCGAAGATTTAAAGAGTTAAATACACATAATTAAAACACATTCACACGCGCACATAAATAAACCTCCATGAACATCAAGTACTCTTTTTTCAGCTCATGTGTGTGTGGAATGCAGAACAGCCTTTCTGCCCACCAGGGAAGGGAGTAAGATGAACCCAAGATTCCCACGGGCAGAGCCTGCCCTCCATGGCTCCCACGCAACCACGCAGCAGAAGGGGTGAGGGCTCAGTGGTGAACTGAGTGCTGCCAACAAGAGACACCAGCTCTTAGATGTTCTGGGCCAGTTAAGTCCAACTGGTGGTACGGGCGACTCTGCCCTCTCCAAACTATTGATGCTGCCAGGGCTCCCATGACCCCTTGGTCTCTAATGACGCCACCAAAGGTACCAATGATCACAATGAATTTTGAGACATGGACACAGATGTAGTAGGAACTGGAAGGGACCCACCTATGCGGCTCCTACTCATCTCAGTAACTACAGGATGGGAAAGATTTGATCACCTTCCGCCGAGGTCACTTCAAGCTGAAGGGCTTTATACCTTAGGTAATGGTCATCTTTCCATAAGTCTTTCCTATTAAATTTTAGACTACAAGACAGATAAGGCAAACGGTCAGTGATGGGTCTGCAGGTACAACTGACCTTGGGGAAAAAACACCTTTTAGCTGTCCGTAAAAGGGTGCACTCGGCACCTGGAATCAGCCCCTAGCCCCCGAGTTACACTGATTAAGGCAGACGGACCCACCACGGGAGAAAGAAGAACCCCAGCCCAGATTCATTCTAAAGTTTTTCTCTTGGCCAAACCTTTGCCATTTCGTAAAATTATTAATAGCAACATCGTTAAAGTCCTATGTATATATTGTACATTATGTATATACACATATAAAAATTTAAAACCTACACCGAGACCAGTGAAGGGGGTTGGAACAGTCACATATACACAGCCAGCCAGCAATGTGGTAGAATCAGGTTTCTGTCCCAGGATTCTTTGCTGTCAGAGTCCAGGCATGATGTAAGCAATGTTGTCTAGGGTGTTCGACTGTAAGACAAGGAAAAAAGGATCAGTTGAAGAGTACTTCACACAGGTTTTCTGAGAAGTGTTTCTTCCCTCAAGGGAGAGGGAGGAGGAGCGATCAGACTTGGGGGAGATCCTGGGAGTTTCCCTACCAGCGGCTCCCATTGGCCCAGGGCAGGAAAACAAAGGGAATATGGGAACCACAGCCCCCCAGGGCTGGAAGGCTCTGCTCTTGGCGAGATGGCGTGCTTTCAAGCTTCCCGGAATGCAAAGCTCGATCCCTCGGACAATATGGTCTCATTCTAGCGTCAAGTCCCAAAGGCTGACATACGAAGGGGCTGCAACCTGGCGTGAAGACTCTCAAGCCCACGCCTGACAGTGCTTCTGGAAAACCAGGGTTTCTCTTGCTCCCCAGGGACTCAGCCCCCAGATCCAAGGGCAACTCACCAAGACCTGCCTGGGACAGCCGTTCAATTCAGGTAGTTGTGTGGTCAGACACGCTAAGGGGCCAAGCGCACAGATGATGGAATCCAGTAGCACGGACAGACTGCCAGACACAGCAACCATTCCCTGAAAGGGGAGCAGGGCAGGATGGGGG